AAACTACTTTTTACAAGACATTTACATAAACTAACCTTCCATAAAATATATGCGTTTAAATATTTGTGCACCACACAGAGGTTATACAATTCATGTTAGTAATGTTCATGTGTAAATTTAATTATTAATGTTTACCATTGTTGAATAATGGGAAATGTGCAAAAATATTTTTTCCCAATTTCCACCCACTGGTAGCCTGCTATTTTTTAACTGGTAATCCCTACTTATTGCTTAATTATTAATAGTTAAGCATGTTACAATAATACACTCTTCTGCTTATTATAATCCTAAATCTTAACAGATTTTAGTAACTGATTTTTAACAATCATAAGAACTGCACAAAAACACTGGCACACGGGTACATATCTATGAACGTAATTACAATGAATGGTTTTTAAAACATGTAAAGAGGAAGAACGCACTTGAAATCATTGAGTTGAAGGCAGAACCACGCCCCAACCACATGAATCTTATTGCATGTGATAAGCAATAATTAATATTAGAACGTCTTATCATGGCCCATGAATGTGATCCTACACTTAGGATCAAGTTCAGCTCTCAAGGATGTAAGTATTTACCTTGGTACCAGATTGCAATCGATGGAGTAATGACCGAAAGCATTAAATACTGCTAGGCATATAAATTTCCTAACAAGGCTTGGGGCGGTGATTCTCCTTAGGTGGTGAAGAAATCTCCAGAGGATGACTTAAATGCAGAATCTCTGATCCTGGCTACATAGATTACAAATGACTTGCATCTAGGCTGAGACCAATATATGTCTACCGTAGAACACTGGATGGTCCCTAGACACAAGCGAGTGCCATAACAGGGAAGGGACTGGATACATGTCATCAACTAGGTGGTTCTATCACTTAACGGAAGACCCCAACATACGCATGGTCATTCAACGAAATCAAAATATCTTTTAGACAGTTAATCAATTTAACCATGAAAAGGACAACAGCAAACATGGAAGTTAGTCAGGAGAAGATAAAACAAACAGATCACGGGGGAACCAGCAGTTAGCGTAATGGCTATGTCGCTGGACTCCCACGTAGTCGACCGTGGTTCGTGTCCCGGACCCGGTGGCTTAAAACTCACGCCGGGCGCGTGTGCGTGCGTGCCCAAGATCCCGAGAGGAGAATGGAGGAGAAGGGATTGCGGCGTGACCATCCCCCCTGGGGGGTGATTTCTCGCTTTCTGTCTCTATGTCTCTCTCTGTCTGTCTGGCGAGCGCACGGGCCCTACAGTGAAAATCTCTCCAAAAAAAAAAAAAAAAACAGATCACATAAGTGACACAGAGGTAAGCCTGCAACAATTCTGTGAAGACGGTCAGAGGACAGAAGCCCTCTTAAAACCAAATAACATAAAATTACAAGCAAAAGCTAGTCATGCCCAATGAAAGAATCCATTGAACCAGAAACGACTGGCACCGATCTTCCAATCAGAACCCTCCAAATCAAATGTAGTCACCATGAAAAGGTAATGAATGCAAAATTACCATCATGAATTATATAACATCGGTGGGGTGCACAAATATATTCATATACTCATGGGATGGTATCTATATTCAGATTCATTTCTGAATTACATGTGATGGTTTTTTCTGCTCGTACTATTAATGAGAAAATGGGAGCTAGTATAAATATACCAAACAAATACAAATAATGTTTACCAAATGGTTCTAGTTATTTCCTTCAATTCTTGCCTCACTACTTGAACAGTAGATTTTTTTTTTAATGATTGATATTGAGATATGGGAAGGTTGATAGACACAGGAAGTTAAGGAAAGAGTACTTAGGGCTTTTGTGACTGAGTTCTAGAATCTAGGTAGGCATCAGAATTGTGAGGGAGTGGGTCGAATAAATATCCCTTAAATGGCACATGGGTGATTTAAATCCAAAATGTTAAGAGAACCCCTGCTAGAGAGGATTACTGTGGCTACAGGATGGGCTACAAAATCAGATGTAAGACCTTATCTAACTAGACTACAGAATTCTGGTAGTCTAGAGAATTTATTAATTCATAGAATTAGATATGTTAGAAAACTACAGATCAATGGGGCCTACAGCTGGCATGGTGGTTAAGAGTGTTGTACTCCCACACGGCAGACTGTGGTTCAAGTTCAGGACCTGGCAGCTTGCTTTCTCACTTTCCCTCTCTCCTGCTCTGTCCTTCTCTGGTCAAATTAAAATAAATATATAAATAAATAAAGTTAAACAAAATAATTCTTAAAAATAAGTGAAAAGAAAACTACAGATCAACACCTTTCATGAACACTGACATAAGATCCTTTAAATAAATTAGCAAACACAAACTGAATACAAACAATATATAAAATGGATGATTATTCCAAATAGGATTTACCTCAGGAATACACACTTGATTTAACATTCCAAACTGAAGTAATATAATACAGTTCATTAATAATAAAAGGACAAAACCACACAATCATACCAAGAGATTTGGAAAAGACAACTGACAAAATCCAACATCCATTTACCACAAAAACTCTCAACACAGTAGGACAAAATAATCAAATCTTAGGCAAGGAAAGTAGCTCAGAATAGCAGAAAGTAGTGTTTTGAGATTAGTAACAATGTGTGAGCCACTTTTAAACAACACTTCTTCCTATTATAAAGTTCAAAAGTAATAGTAAAAGATTCAGCAATGTTGAAATGTCAAAAACTTCAAAGTAGATGATCTTTGAAATTGTCCCTTCCCCTTTCTCTCCCCCAAGTTGTTTTTTTTTGTTTGTTTGTTTGTTTTGAGAGGTTTTTGCTATAGGGCGCGTGCGCTGGCCAGACAGAGAGAGACAGAGAGACAGAAAACTAGAAATCACCCCCCAGGGGGGATGGCCACGCTGCAATCCCTTCTCCATTCTCCTCTCAGGATCTTGGGCACGCATGCACACGCGCCCAGCGTGAGTTTTAAGCCACCGGGTCCGGGACACAAACCGCGGTCAACTACGTGGGAGTCCAGCGACATAGCCATTATGCTAACTGCTGGTTCCCTTCCCCCCAAGTTTTTACCATAGGGCACATGTACTCACTAGAGAGAGGGAAAATGAGAAATCACTTCCCTTCCATTTTCTTCTCAGGATTTTGGGCATGCACGCACCAAGTGCCCAGTGTGCTTTTTCAATCCACCAGGCCTGGAACTCAAACTGCGATCAGCCATGTGGGAATCCTGCACCTTAACCACCAAGCCACTTGCTGGCCCCAAACTGTCCCAACTTTTAAAAGCTTATTTGGTAGACTAGAAATCATAGTAACATTTACTGTCTAGGTTCTTAATCATCTTTCAAAAAGTATCAGAGAGTGCCTCTGAACACTTGGTATTTATTCTATGGTCCCAAACATTTCCGTACTCTGAGCATATTCACAAGATGTAATAGAAGACTTGATAAGCACACAATGACCTAGAAGACAACAGCTGGACTACGACAAAAAGAGTTCCAGCTCACTCTGCTCTCCCTCTCCCTCTCCCTCATCTGCCACCCACATTCCATCTCCTCTCATCAGTTATCCCTCATTATCACTCACTTTTCATGACAACGCAGGTACCTGATAGACATAGGAGACATGTGACAGGATCTCTACATATGTGCTCAAAAACTCACATGGTTCCTAGTATCCAAGCCCATGTGCTCTTTTGCAAGGGCACCTAACCAAGAGACTATAATCCATCAGGAGATCTGGACGTCAAGTTGTTTAAACCTGCCATTCCATAGGACCAGTAGGTGGTGGGGTGGTCAAAGTGCTGGACTCCCACATGGACGACTGCAATTTGAGTCCCGGACCTCGCAGACTGAAAAGCATGCTGGGTGCATGTGCATGTGTGCCCAAGATCCCAGGAAGAAAATGAAGGAGAAGAGACTGTGGCATGACCATCCCCCAAGGGGATGATTTCTCACTTTCCCTTTTACTGTCTCTCTTTCTGTGTCTTTCTCCAGCAAGCACACATATCTAATGGCAAAAACTTAAAGAAAAAAAAAAAAGGAAACGTCATTCCCTCTCTACAATTTCCTTCCCAAAATGTCACTGTGAACTTTATGTTCAGCATTTTCTATATAAAGAGGACTCTCCACTCCTACTCCTTACCAAATAATCCCAAAACTTCAGGAAAATGAAAATAAAAAGTAGCAGCTCTCCTTCCCTAAAGCCATCTCAAAACCATTAGTACTTCTACAAGTGCCACCACAACGGGAGGCATACATTTATCAGCTTAAGAAATGACTGGCCTTGGATCAGGGAAGACAAACAGCATGGCTCTCTTCTCATTTACTCAGTGACGTACTGCCAGCACCTGCTTAGTGCTACAACGGCAGAGGTGAGTAATTGTGAATGAAACCATATGGCGCACAAAGCCTAAACTATCAGGAGACTGGGCCAACTGATGGCGTGGAGGTTAAGGTGCTGGATTCCACATGGCTGACTGTGTGGTTTGAGTCCTAGACCTGGTGGCTTGAAAATCATGCTGTGTATGTGTACCCAAAAATCCCAAGAGAATGAAGAAGGAACTACAGTGTAACCAATCCCCCCTGGGGGGGATTTCTCACTTTCCCTCTCTCTCCCCCTGGCAACTGTATGCTCCCTATAGCAAAAACTAAAAACAAAATAAATAAATAAAAATTTATATATATACACACACACACACACACACATACATATATAAATTATATAGAGAGAAACTCTTCAAAAACTTCATGGAAAATGAAATTAAAAAGCAAGTTCATTTTACTGCAAAAAAAATCTGAAACCCATGCATTATTTTGTCATAATATAGCTTTTTTTCCCATGAACTTTTTGAAGATACCCTATCATAATCACTATCTAGCCTTGTACAGAAAATGTTTTCTACGCCTAGTCTTGATAATCAAGAAAGGGTCATTAAAGATGCCATTGGGGTGCCATTTCAAACTACACACTCGAAGTTTCAAACGAGACAAACGATGATAACTTGCTAACCAAGTACCCCAAAATAGAGTCAGTTTGCACCTCAGTTCCAACGAAGGTAGGACGAATATACAGACTAGCCGATGTCGAATACGGGACCCATTCTTGATCCAGTCTCACAAGCTGCTGAATACACTCCAAAAGCTCTTCCTTGTCAAATACCTGAAAGAATGAAAAACACAATGAATGATGAAATTCTGCTCAATGTAGCAACAGAAATTATCCTTCTTTTGCCCAATGTAGTAATAAGAAATTATCCTTATGGAGAAACACATAATAGGAGAATGGGCAAAAACCAAGAGTGGTTTATTTTTAAAAAGAAAAATGTTTTCATATACTTAGATGGTTGGTAGCTTGTAAAATAGTTTCTACTGATTAGTAGGGTAGAAAAACGAACTCAGAGAGTGCTGGATCTGAAATACTTATCTGAAGAGGGCCCACCACATCAGGCTTGGCCTATGTAAATGCCAACTTGTAACAGCCATCAGTCAGGGACATTACAGAAATCGGGATCCCAGCCGTAAAAGCGGGCCCTGTATATCTCTGTTAGCACTGCTTCTAAGAGACAGAAGCTAGTGAAAAGAGAACTTGACTGGGAATCACGAAATCTGGGATCTAATTCTGGCCTCTCCCTTTCTCCTGGGTGACTGTGGGCAAGTCATTTAATCTTTCAGGCCCAGGTTCTCTGTACAAAGGCACTACTCAAATGTATAATAAATGTCTTCTTGACCACGGCCTGCTGCTATGACATGAAACCGCACAACAATCTGTAGCCTAGTTGATGTTCAATACATGTTACTTCCTTTTCCTTCTGACCACATCATGAAGCTTGTCCCAGTGATCTATCTGTAATGGGTAGAAGAGTGAAACTAGGACCAAAGAATTTACCATCATTTCCCTTCTGCTACTGTATTATGGCCTCTAATGGAGGTGCGTGAAGCCTGGGTTATAAAAATAGAAAGAAGAAAGAAGAGCCTGCCTAAATATTAGTCCCAGCTTCTCTGATGCACGGCCTACGCTAGGTTCTTGAGACTTACACATACAGAATATGTAAAAGAAGGGGATGACTGCTTTCAGTTCAAAAAGGCAACCTAGTCATGCCTTAAGTAATGAAAACCATGCAAGTCACCTCCTGCCTACATGTGTACTTAAGGTTTAAATTTAACCCACCTTCTAATGAATTCTGTTCCACAACCAACAATGTTACATACCAAGGACTCGATGGCCTTGAGAAATTATTCTGATCATCTTTTCTTTCATTCCCCTCTACCAAACAAAATCGGGATAAAATATCAAAATAATTGAATCACTATATACTTGCTAATGTCTAAAGTGATTAGGCAAAATATCCCCAAAATACTTGTGCCTGCGTGTTATAGTTTCTATTCTCAATATTATATATTCACAAGGTTCTTTATTCTTTTTTTATTTTTATTTTTTGAGAGGTTTTTGCTATAGGGCACATGCACTTGCTAGAGAGACAGAGAAAGAAAGAGAGACAGGAAGCAAGAAAGCACTCCCAGAGGGGATGCCATGCTGCAATCCCTTCCCCTCCATTCTCCTCTCGGGATTTTGGACACGCATGCACATGTGCTGTGTGAGTTCTGAGCCACCAGGTTCAGGACTTGAACTGCAGTTGACAAGGAGGGAATCCAGGGATATAACCATTACACTTTCTGCTGGTCCCTCACAAGGTTTCTAAGTTTTATTTTATTTTACTTCTTTATCCTTTTATCTTGCACGTACACATTAATTCCCCTCAGACACTTAGAAACAAACAGCAATAGTGTGGAACTGCCAAACGGTGCGGGTTATGTCCATATGTTTTTACCTTACCAATTAAAGCAGATCAGGAATAACTTCAATCTCATAGGGTCTGTATAAAACATCAGTCTAATTATTTGGAAATTATTTGGTGGTACAGCCAGAGTTACCTGTTCCATCAGAAGAAACTCCCAAATGTACATACCGGCAGAGTTGCTCGCACGGCGGACCGGTACATTCTATCCATGTTGAGGTTTGGCCGAAACAGTCGGATTTTATTATCTACTCCTCGAAATGCCTTCATCCCTTCAAATAACTAAAGACAAATGAGAAATAAGTCTTAGGTGATAATTGAGTAAAAACAATCTGTGTTCAAAAGACCGTGCTCTTGAGGGGCTCTCAACTCCTTGCTCACGTAAAGGTGTTGACGCTGACCTTACCTTGGGATCACTAAATATAGAAAAGGGACAGCTGGCAATGACAGGAAGGTCTTTCAGTACCAGACTCTGGTGGGAAGTCAGAGTTATTATTTGCTGAGTAGGAGGCACATTCCCAAACCACACAGTGATGGAGATGGAAGAAAATGTCTACCCAGACACAACATGGGTCGAACGCCCAGACAATGGAGGCAGAAACCAAAGGGTCTGCAGAGCACCCTGACCCTCCTCCCAGGTACCACGTAGCCTTTCATTTACTCTGGCTCCTGCAAACTCTGCAGCGTAGACAATCTACATGTGATCAGAGGTGGTTTGGTCCCCCCACATCACAGAAACCAGGTACCTCGAGACTCAAGACCATGTTAAGGCTTACAAAGGGCTTAAAAAGTTCATGGAGGGAACCAGCAGTTAGCGTAATGGCTATGTCGCTGGACTCCCACGTAGTCGACCGCGGTTCGCGTCCCGGACCCGGTGGCTTAAATCTCACGCCGGGCGCGTGTGCATGCGTGCCCAAGATCCCGAGAGGAGAATGGAGGAGAAGGGATTGCGGCGTGACCATCCCCCCTGGGGGGTGATTTCTCGCTTTCTGTCTCTATGTCTCTCTCTGTCTGTCTGGCGAGCGCACACGTCCTACAGTGAAAAATCTCTCAAAAAAAAAAAAAAAAGTTCATGGAAAATATGTTAGGAACAAAACTGCAAGAATTTTTTAAAAATTTTTGTACTAAAATAAACTCATACTTTAATTCCACTTTTAACAAACTTTAGAAATCTCATAATACCTTCTTTAAACAAAATGCTGCCCTAGACAAAGCACTGTGAGAAGATTTGAAAAGATTAAGATGTACATACATACAAAGAAAAAAGAGAACTCGATCATTGTGGTGGGAAATTTTAACACACTTTCTCTCAGTAACTGACAGAATGAGTAACCTAAAGCTCAGTAAAGATATGGAAGGATTTGAGCAATGGGAAGAGCAAACAGAACCCTACACAGACCACCTGCAGAATACACATTTCTTTCACAGGCTTCTCGGCCACAAGATAAACCAGAAATCAATATGAAAAATAATACCAGAAAAATACCCATATGTTGGAAACTAAAAAACCATTACTAGATAAACCACTGGCCAAAGAAGAAATTTAATAGAAATTAAAAAATATTTTCGACTGATTGATCATGAAAACTGGAGCCTTCAGAGATTTATAGACTAAAAGCTTACATAAGAAAATAAGGAAAAGAAATATAAATCGTATGATTAAAAAGCACAACATGGGCCAGCTGGTGGCATCGTAGTTAAGGCAGCTGGATCCCACATGGCTGACCGTGTGGTTTAAATTCCAGATCCCACAGCTTGAGACACACATTGGGCACATTGGCATGCATGCCCAAAATCCCAAGGGGTGGAACAGAGAAGGGATTGTGGTATGGCCATTTGCCTTGGAAAGTACTTCCTCATTTTCCCTTTTTTTCTCTCTTTCTCTCTCCAGCAAACACATGCACCCTATAGCATATTTAAAAACTAAAATAAACGTACAATGAGATATTATACTTAAATGCAAATATATTATTAATCTATGAAGTATAACAGACTAAAGTTTCAGTTTAAAAGGTAAAAGGTAGGGGGGCCAGCAGGTGGCGTGGTGGTTAAGGGCACTGGACTCCCACATGGCCAACTGTAATTCGAGTCCTGTAATTCGAGTCCTGGAGCTGGCAGCCTGCAGTCTCTCTCTCTCTTGCTCTCTCTGGCTCTGCCCCTCTCTGGTCAAATTAAAATAAATAAATGAATAAATAAAATTAAATGAAGTAATTCTTTAAAAAAAAAAAAGGTAAGGGATCAGACTGGACTCAGTTGACAGCAAATGAAACAAAAGATACATCATGCAAATACTTCCTACAGTAAAGCTGGGAAGGTTATATTATCACATATAAAACAAAATAGATAACTATGTCATTAAACATTAAATAAAAATAGATAAGATAAAAAAGGTAAATTCAAAAAGTTCAACAACCTAAGTATCCAGAGCCAGCCCCATAACCTAGTGATTAAGGGAGACAGATCTCACATGACCAGTCATGGTTCAAATCCCAGCCCTGGTGGTTTGAAAAACACACAAGGCACGTATGTACGTGGGTCCCCCCCAGATCCCCACAGGATGAAGAAATGGAGGCAAAGGGACCTTGGCATGACCATGTCCCACTGCGTAGTGTTTCTCTCTCTCTCTCGCTCTCACTCTGTCTCTTGCTCTCACTTTCACTCTCGCGCTGGCAAACCACATGTCCTCTGGCAATTAAATAAAAAGAGAAAGAATTTAAAGAACAAAATGTCCAATAAAAGATGAACTGATTAATAAAATGTGGTGTATGTACATAATGGAATACTATTCAGCCTCAGAAAAGCAGGAAAGCCTGCCATTTACAACAGTCTGGGTGAATGCGAAGGATATTACACTAAGTGAAACAAGTCAAGCATAGAAATATAAACAATGGCAGGACCAGCAGTTAGCGTAATGGCTATGTCGCTGGACTCCCACGTAGTCAACCACGGTTCGAGTTCCGGACCCGGTGTGCGTGCGTGCCCAAAATCCTGAGAGGAGAATGGAGAAGAAGGGATTGCGGCGTGGCCATCCCCCCTGGGGATGTCTCTCTGTCTCTCACTGTCTGTCTGGCGAGTGCATGCGCCCTATAGCAAAAAACCTCTCAAAAAAAAAAAAAAAAAGAAAGATAAACAATGGCCACCAAACCGTGGAGACTGGCCAAGCAAATCTGAAGTCCACAGGCAGGCAGCCAGGAAGGGAGGATCAGAAGCAGGGTGGAGCCCCCAGGCACGAGCCGCAGCTTATCTGCACTCAGCACACTGAGGAAACGAGAGGGCAACTGCAGGTCTAGCTGCTATGTGTGGGTTCTCTGGAATCATGGAAGTCCCAAGTCAGACTCTCCTGAAATAATCTCCTTTCTGGGTAACTGTAAAACAACTGATTAGAGACTATCGCACCTGTGGCGATCCTTCAGCGCAGGCTCCAGACTGGTGTCTGACTGACGAGGGAAAGGAGTGTGCATGCTGCCATGTGGTTGCAGCCTCCCTCTGTCTTCCAAGGCTCTCAAGATAAGACCTTTGAAGTCTATTTTCATCAGAAGGACACGACAACAAAATTCTGAGGAACTGTAGCTCAGACTAGCCATAATGACACATCACAAAGGCACCACAGTCTACTTTGTGGTGGGTTTAAATCGTTCATCTTAAATTCAAAATATCATGCCATGGTCACCTAGAAAGCACTGACTCAGTGTTATACAGACCTCCCAAAGGTTAACACCACACCATTAATACCATGAGAAAGCTCTTCAATAGTTGGAAATGGAGCCAGCCCCATAATGCATTGACGAGAGAGAGCACTGTGCACTGGGAACAGGACTCACACGTGGCCAACCATGGCTTGGATACTAGCCATGCAGGCTTGAAAAACATGCAAGGTGCATGTGCATGTATGTCCACTATCCTGCTAGGATGGAAAAATGGAAGAAAACAGCTTGTGGTGTGACCACCCTGCACTGGTGTTGGAAATGGTCAAGCTCACAATGGTGGCTATGGGTTTTCTAGAATTCTGATTTTCACTTGAAAGCTGGCAACAAACATGGTCCATTGTTTTGCTTGAAGTGACAGGTTCACTTCATTCATTTTCAGGACAACATCAGTCAAATGTCCCAATCGGAATAATCATACTTTGTTCTTTCAAGTACAAATGGTGCTAGATGGAAAAAGGAGCCAGTTCTGCTTACAGACTCATGACAACCACACAATCGTCCTTCAGTATGCAGAAATACTTCACATGAAGTCGCTATTTTGTGACACAGAAAATTAAAGTGAAATTTACTCAAGAGTCAGATTTAATAAAATGATTGTTACTGCTTCACTGAGAATATCCTGTAGCAAAACGGGTGTTCATTTTATAATGCCACGGATGGCAGTAAAGCATATAGTGACTAACCAGCAGAGGCTGAACACCACCAGAATTTTACCTACTGCAAATGTTGACACCATAGAAATAAATAATAGTGCCTTACTATTGGGTCTTCAGAAAACTCATGTGTAGTTTTCTATGTGTTTCTATGCAAAAATGCATCATGACTTTTCTGACGACCCAGTATCACCATGAAAAGTTTTGGGGCCAGTAGATGGCGTAGCAGTGACATCGTTGTACTCCCACATGGCCGACCCAGGTTTGAGTCCAGGACTCAACCTTGGGGGGCTATTTCTCCCTTCCCCTCTCACTGTCTGTCTCGCTCTGGCGAAAGCACATGCCCTAAGGCAAAATCCTCTTAAAAGAAAAAGCTTAACCATGGCAATGTCTTCACAGCGCCTGGGGAAGTCTAGACAGTCTGTGGACCACACTTTGAGAATCACTGACTTAGACCAACTCGTACATGAGAACATCAGCATGGACAACAGGTTCACAGAAGGAAACCACATAATTGCCTGTCAACAGGATAGTTATGGGCTGGCAAGGTGGCATGGTGGTTAGGGGCGCTGGACTCCCACATGGCCAACCACAGTTTGAGGCCCAGACCTGGCAGTTTGCTTTCTCACTTTCCCTCTCTCTCTCTCTTGCTCTGTCCTTCTATGATCAAATTTAAATAAATAAATAATTTTTAATTAAAAAAAAATTTTTAAAGGATAGTTATAGTCACATAATGTAACACAAGTCTTTGAAGAATTCATAGAAAATGCTTCTTACCAAAAATCGATGCATGAATTTCACAATTTTTCTCCACCAAAATAAACTCATATTATCCCTCCATTTTCCCGTAAGTTTTTTGAAGTCCCCTCACCCTACTGCTATGGGGAACCCATGAACGTGGTACCTGCCACCCTCCAACCCAGGCATCCAGGCCTCCTGCCCTGAGCCCCACACTTCGGAGTACCTCTCACCCCTGGCCTCCTTCAGCTACAACATGCTCCTTGAAGCAAGGAGTCAAGAGGTCCAAGGTACATGCCCACCTGGACCGTGACTCTACTGCACAGTCAGACACCAAGTAGCTCCCAAGTCCTTACCCAAATGGCCCTAATCCCATTTTCAGGACTGAATGAGCCCCAGCAGGTTCACCCTCCTAAGAATAGACAGCACCACTGGTGTGCCTGTCGCAAGTTCAAGGGATGGCCAAAGGCCATTTGTCTGCAGGTGGTATAGTTATCTGTACACGTGTGCAAGGCCCCCTGTGGAACAGAACGGAGCCAGGAAGGGAAGATGCAGAGGGCAGACTGTATGGTTCACCTAAGACCCAGGTCCCACAAATACTAGGGTTGGCCCTGGATGGATCTTAGAGGTGTGTGTTATGTATACCAATGACCACTAAAGTCTTTTTTAATTTTCAAAAGTGACATTCATCCTTCCTTATTTACTTCATATAGGCCAATAGTTCTCAGAATTGTTCTCTGGAACAGAATTAACATGACCTGGAAACTTGTTAGAAATTAGAAACTCTGAGGGTGGAGCCAGCACGCTAGACTTGACCATATTTCTTCTTTCAAATTTAAAAGCCCTATATTCCCTTCACTCTGCATGACACCTATCGCAAGGCAAGGTTTATCATGCATAATGAAAACATTCCTTTGAGTTGATACATTTAAAGACAAAGCAAGGAACAAGAAGTTAAGACTCCTAAATTCAACATTTGTGGATTCATATGGCCAATGAATGTTTCTAAAATTATTCAAACTTTTCATTTTGAACAAGGTAATTGAGCACTTACAAGTTGTATAACAGAACAGGAGCTCCAAATTGGAACCCTGGTTCTAACCTGTATAATCTAGGGCAAGAATCAACTTTTCTGAGCCCTTTTCTATACTACGTGATCCTACTAATTTAAGGGTTAATTACTGTAGCTAAAACTGGACTCTCACTATGCCCCAGACCTGATTCTACATGCTTAAATGAGTTACCTTATTTTAGACTTACAACACTATGAGGTAGCTATCATTCCTTCAATTTTATGAAAAAATGATAGCACAGATGATTAAATTTCCCATGTCACTGCACTCCCTAGGGGACAAATGAAATAGAATTTGAGCCCAGAAAGTCTGACTCCAGAACCTCAATGCTTAACCACGTGCTGCTCCCTTAGGATAATTAAATAAGATGAATGGTGTAAGATACACAGGACACAGCACGCTGCAGAAACTCAACAAACAAAAAAGTATTAATTTATCATTATCGTTATTAACAATTTACTAGTACCATCTTTTTGTTTTATTACCAGAAGACATGCTCTCACCAGAGGGAAAAAGAGAGCACACGCACTCCCCCAAATGGGGCACGGTCACGCCACCATCCTTTGTCCTCCAGTTGTCCATTCCTTCAATATCCTGGGCACTTATGCACGCGTGCACGTGTACGCACACACACACACACCCACACTCACACATACAGAGATATGTTTTTCAAGCTTCCAGGGCCATGATTCTAAACATGGCCGCCATGGGGGATCCTGCTGCCAGCGTATGGCCCTTCACCACTCCACTCTGAGGCTGGCCCACTATTACCATCTTTTAGTTCCGTAACAGGTAGGTCGTTGCTTATTTCTGGCACACAGTATTCTGGGAGAGAAGTCTAACACATTAAAAAGAAAATAAAATGAGAGAATTAGGGGAATGAGGAAAATATTGCAAATCTAGTTAACTGTGTGTCCTGAAACGGACCAGGAAAGGAATACTTCAAATATTGTACACTTAAAATTATTCATTCTCATGCCTGAAGGCCATTTAATGCCGTACCTTTTAACATGTATATCTACATGCTATTTATTGCTGGTTCTAAAAACATGCAGATAGCATTAAAATGGAATCATAATATTGTTCTCAATGACCCTTTCTCAATAAGTAAATGATCTCAGAAGTGACATGGCTTAGTAAAATGTCAAGAGTACTGGCTTTGTGATTGCTATATTTTCTACCAATTGTCCTATCTGCTCTATAATTTTTTTTTACTAATATCATATACAATTCAAGATTATCTAAAAAGTTAGCTATTTTGTTTTGTTTTTAAATTTTGCCAGAGGGTACATGTGCTCGCCAGAGAGAGACAGAGAAAAAAAGTGAGAAAGCGCCCCCCTCTGGGGAATGATCAGAGCATAATCCCTTCTCCATTTCTCACTCCATTCAGGATCTGGGGCACATGCACACACACGCCTGGCATGTTTTTCAAGACACCACGTCTGTCCAGGTGTCTTGTCCAGCAGACCAGGCAGTCCGCTATGTGGGATCCTGTTGTCTTAACCACGACACCACCGGTGACCCAGAAATTAGTTGTTAAGACTTGTCTTCATTCCAATTGTCTACAGGAACATTTTTCAAGACATTTACAACATTCTCTAGTAAATAAGGTAAACCCCACACTTTCCAAAAGCTGTTTTGGCAGTGGAAGATACGTAGTACCTATAGCGAGGTATAAGTCACCATCCTTAATCCCCATGTACTTACTTCCACTGCATAGTGGAGAGCCGAAGAACCTGGATGCAATGACAGGTTCTGCAGAGGCTTGATATGAGGTTTCTCCCATCCAAACTCTGAGGACCACTCCACTGTCAACATGTGGTCTGTGAACGCAGCTCCAAAAACTAGAGTACTTGGGTCTGGTTTTTCCTTTAAAACAGTGGCTGGCGTGATTATTAAGTCCTTGGCCTGGGGAAGAAAAATCAGACCTGAACATTAACTGACTAGATTATAAATACAAGGGACAAAAAGTGAACTCACTTGACTAATACAGAAATTTAATACTACCTAAGTCAAACAAGTCATGCCTGCATTGAGAATTTAGCTGTTTGTCTAGATCGCTGCAATATACTCTACTCACCAGCACAGCAGAACCGAATCTCAGTGACAGAAAGAAACAGGGACAAAAATAGCAGTGGGGGATAAAAATGCAAAAAGAAAATGCATCCTTTTTTCTCGCCATCATGGGACTCATGGTCAAGCATTTGGGAAAGAGGTGGCTTCCATAATAAAAAATGTCAGTGGGGCCGGCAGGTAGCGTGGTGCTTAAAAGCACTGGACTCCCACATGGCCGACGGCGGTTCGAGTCCCAGACCTGGCAGCTTGTTTTCTCACTTTCTCTCTCTTTCTCTGTGTCTCTCTCTCTCACTCTCACTCTGTCCCTCTCTGGTCAGATGAAAATAAATAAATAATTCTTGAAAAAAAAAAAAAAAGGAAATCAAGTACTTGATTCTGAAGACGCTAAAAATACAACAATGAACATGACAAAGATAATCCATGCCTTCTGAGGTTTGAAAAAGTGAAGAGTTTGGTTTAAATCCCCTATTCCAGAACTGGCATGCTATGAATTAAATAGGATTACATTCATATTCTGTGACCCAACCTTAATACAACAAAGATTTACAAATGTCATTGAAAAGGTTCTAAAGTATTAAAGTCTTCCTATGGGAATGCAGGTAAAATAAGTTTAAATGAGAAACAGGTTTTGCATATTTATTCAGAAGGTGATTCGGCTACAGAATAAAGCCCTTTAAGCATTAAGAAATTCAATGTTTTGAAATCTTTTTCTCAGCAATTTTGTTTAGTATAATTTGCATAATACTGAAGAGATTCTCTTATCTGAAGTTTCATGCTTCTTGAAAAAAAAAAAAAAAAGGCAATGCTCTGAACCTTTCCTTGGTAATGGTTATGCTCTATCTCCCCAAAGAATTCTTGGCATAAGACTCCCAATTCTCTGGATGCACTGCAGAAGAAACAAGCAAAGTGTAGCAAATGTTTCCTTTGAAAACAGAGAGGGAGTGAATGAATACTAAGATATAAATCCTCTGTTCTATGTTGAAGAAACAGTGAACAAAGGCCCTCTTATTCAAAGAAAGATAAATAAGAGGAACAGGAAACAGCTTCACACAGTAGCATTTCACCAAGTCTCCACATAGCCTGTTTGTCCACTACAAATGACCAAGCACATAAGCATAAACTGTGTGCTTGGCTGGCCTTGTAGCCTAGTAGTTAAGGGAGCCAGATCCCACATGGCTGACCACAGCTCGAATCCCAGCCCCAGTGGCCTGAAAAACATGCTTGGCATGTGTGCATGCTTGCCCCAAATTCTGACAGGATGGAGAATGGGTTATGGCATGACTGTACCCCACGGGGGGGAAGGTGCTTTATCTCTCTCTGGAGAGCAAAATGCCATCTGGCAATTAAAACAGAACAAAACAGGGACCAGCAGTTAGCATAATGGCTATGTCGCTGGACTCCCACGTAGTCGACCGCGGTTCGAGTCCCGGACCCAGTGGCTTAAACTCACGCCGGGCGCGTGTGCGTGCGTGCCCAAGATCCCAAGAGGAGAATGGAGGAGAAGGGATTGCGGCGTGGCCACCCCCCCAGGGGGTGATTTCTCGCTTTCTGTCTCTCTGTCTCTCTCTGTCTGTCTGGCGAGCGCACGAGCCCTATACCAAAAACCTCTCAAAAAAATAAATAAATAAATTTAAAAAAATAAAACAGAACAAAACAAAACTGTATCCAGTACCAACTTTATTATAGTTGTAGAATGCTGACAAAAACAACAACAGGAGAAGGAGCTCTTTGACCAGTCAAAAAATATTAATAATTCCTTAAGAATATTAAGGAATGTCAAACTCCACTTCTTTTAATGCACAAAAATACTCATTTCCCTCCTAATCAAATACAGAACTTCGCTTACCTCACCAGCTCTTAACATTATTTTTAAATGATCTAATTAGTTCGAATTAATTCACTGCCTTACAGCTACCTTAGTGCCTTAATATATTATTAATGAGAAGGTTTTATTTTTAGAATAATATTCAAGATGAAAATGTTTTCTAAAACAAAAAGAAAAGCTCATTACAATAAAGCATTAATAAATCATAAGATGAAAATGTTTTCTAAAACAAAAAGAAAAGCTCATTACAATAAAGCATCGAGCATTAAGGACAACATATTACTTTGAAGTTCAGGCTAGTCTAGTAAGGTACTTTGAAATATGTCAATTATGATGCCAAATTTGGAAAAATTGACTTGCTTTTACCACTATTTTTTTTTAATTGCCAGAAGGCATGTGCACGTCCCAAAGAGAGACAGAGAAAGAGGGTAAGGAAGGACACTCCTACAATGGGGCATGGTCACACTGCAATCCCTTCTCCTTCATTTCTCCATAGTCAGGATTTGGGGCACACACAAGGGGCTGGGGCCAATATTCCAACTGCTGTCAGCCATGTGGAATCTGGCTCCCTTAACCACTAAGCTATGGGGCCAGGCCTCTTTTATAACACTGTTTAAACAAGTTTGTGGAGAGCAGGTAATTTGAAAACGTGATTAAAACATGTGGCCTGGGGACCAGCAGTTAGCATAATGGCTATGTTGCTGGACTCCCATGTAGTCAACTGCGGTTCGCGTACTGGACACGGTGGCTTAAAACTCACGCCCGGCCTGTGCGTGTGCCCCCAAGATCCTGAGAGGAGAATGGAGAAGGGATTGCGGTGTGACCATCCTCCCCACCCCCACCCCCGGGTGATTTCTAGCTTTCTATCTCTCTGGCTCTCTGTCTGGGTCCCGCATGTGCCCTATAGCAAAAACCCTCTCCCCCCCACCCAAAAAAAAAAAAAAAAAATGTGGCCTGTAGACACGTGCAGAAAGGTGCTTTTGTAGGCTACTCTAGCAGGGCTATGAAGAAGCATTTACATATGAAAGCGGTATCTGCCTGCTGTCAATAGTTATCTTCCAGTTGTTGTTGATACCCAATACCCTGATATGGGGCTAAAGGAAGCCACAGGTGTTTATCAGATTGTCCCCCTAAACAAGATTAGAGAAATTATATGGCACCACTCATTTTTACATCTTCAGACTATTTACATTCAAAACCAACTGGCTCTGCCTTCTGAGTGCTCCTCCCCTATTCTCTCTGCATTCCATTTCCTTCTTCCCCATTCCCTTTGCATCCCATTTTCCCTTTCCCCCATTTTCTGCCCTTTAAAAGAATAAACCTGAGGCTGGTTCTGGTTGCAACTTCTCCATCAGAGAAGCTGTGCCCACCCAATACTTGCTTTTCTATACTTGTGTGTCTTTGTGTGTTTGTCACTGTGTCTATTTCTAATTCACAGCCTTCCCCTCTCAGAAAAACGTGTTCCTGCCAAGCTGGTCCCGGCATACCTTGACTTAAACTTTTTACTAAGTGCAACAAACTGATTTAAAGGAATATAGTCTAGCTAAACCATTTTGATCTCTGATTGTCACTGCTCTTCTGTTATCTCTAGATTAGTTAAGGGGGGGGTCAAGCAATTTCCTAGGCAGGCTCAATGCAGCCACCTGGCCTGTTTTATAAATGAAAGTCTCATTGGAACAGTCACACCATTCCTTTATCTTCAATGGTGATATATTCCTGAGGCTGACAGAAACATGAAGGCCTTCGAGACTAAAAAATGTATCTGGCCCTTGTAAAAAGTTGGCCACCCATGTCAAGACTGCTTACACAAGAGCCGCCATGACTAGAGTACTCACAGGTAAACCTTCAGCCTTCCTATTACAGTGCCAGGCACACACAAGAGTACAAGTTTTCTTAAATATCAAGAACCCTTGGTCATTTCAGATACACCCCTAATGAATGAGAAGGTTCCCTCCTAGACTGTGGCCAGGGTTTCAAGTGAGCAAAATTCTAACACAAACTTTGTATTACATGAATAGTTTCACAGTATTTTTGCACAATGGAATACTTGAGATTTTGCATCAGAGAGCTTTTTGATAGTGGATGGGGAGGAGAATCCTGGACTAAGAAAAAATCAAGAGCCATTATTAATATAAATAAAACTTTATACAGAGTTCCTCCTCCTAAGACTCCTCGCAAGTATTTCTTAATAAAAGAAAGGGGGAGGGTGTGGAGATTAAGACATAAAAGAAACAGAGATGGGCGTGGGTGAAAAATGGAGGAAGGCTGAGCTTTTTTACTTGCAGAGTTTTGGACCCATATTGAATACTACAAAAGCAACCATCCCTGGTTTTTTTTTTTTTTTTTTTTTTTGCCTTTTTTTTCTTTTTTCAAGGACAGAATCAGTATTTTTCACGGTTCTTCCAAAAATTTATCCTCTTGGCTGCTATTTCTAACATCAGTTAACCGTCTATACTCCCAAAACATAAAGCTGACTCCACATGATCCTTGTACCTCTATGGACTTCTAGGCTCTCCAATAACTCTTCCTGCCGTGAGTACACAAGATACATACAGCTTCACTTCAATGACAACCTGCATAGTACTTCAAAAATAAGACTACAGCTTTGCCTTATACCAAACAACTTCAAGGTATTCTCATTTTCTTCCCTTGTTCTTCTAACCTTTGCCTCGTCCGCTTTATGAATCTTACTGTTTCGCCTTTTCATTTGCTGGATGAACACTGGTCACACCAGCACCACCGCTTAGGCAGACACTGCACCAAGCAAGCACAGGATGTACCAAGACATATTCGGCTCAGCCCGTCCTTCTTGGGTGAGTTCACCAGCAGCCACGGACAGGCACTAACTGCTGTGAGCATGCATTATTCACTCACCCTCCTATTTTTCGAGCTGCTATGCACCTGCACTGCTGTTGGTCCCAAAAAGAACCTCATGGAACAAAACAAGAAAAGTCCTTGTTCTGCTGTTGAGGGGAAATAATGTAAAGAAACAAACAGTGTGCGGTATGCCACACCAGGAGTAGAGGGCCACTCTGTGATGCTGGAGCCATAGGGATGCCAGTGGTTTAGATCCTCGGTGGATCAGAAACGTTCCAGATGAACATGAATACACCCAGGTGATCCCAGCTGGAAGGCTGGGGGATGTCAGAAGGACTGCAGTGTAAGGAGACCCTGTCAAGGGCGCCTGTTTCTCTCTCTCCTGAGAGAAATTAAATATACTGTTTAAAAAAGAGAGAGGAAGACCAGCAGGTGATTTGGAAGTTAAGGTGGCTGGATCCACATGGCCAATTCCACAGTTCAAGTCCTGGACCTGGAGGCTTGAAAAACAAGCTGGGCATATATATAAAGGAAGAGGGGATTGTGGCATGGCCATCCCCCAGGGACTATGATTTTTCATTTTCTTTCTGTCTCTCTCCCTCTGGCAAGTGCATAAGCCCTATGGCAAAAAGAGAAAAAAATATATATAAAAAAAGGAGAACCGAACAGATAAATAGTTGTCAAGTAGTGATTAATTAAAGCAGCTTAAGAGGACAGGAAAGGAAAGAGAATGATTATCATGACGGGTCAGTGAAATCTTCCCTAAAGAGACTTGAAAGGAGAAAGCGGACAGGCCATGTAGATATCTAGGGACAAAATATTTCAGACACAGGACACACCACAAAGGCGCTAAAGTAGAATCACACCACACTTGGCATCTTCAGGAAACAGCAAAGGCCCAGCAAGGCAGGAATGTATGAAATGCAGGGAGTGGAATGGTAGGGGGTAGAGCCATGGCAGCCCTGAAGTCAATGGAAGGGATGGACCTAGATAACCAGGGACTCTGGACTGGATCAACATTCCTGATCTCCAAGAGCTTGGCTCTGTACAACCAAGATTATACCCATCTTCCTTCCTTCCCCAGTAATCTTTTTTAAGAAGCTACTGACAAAATACTAGGCACTTGGAGGAGCCACTGAGAATAATGAATGATTATAATTTCTTGCTATTTTCAAATATGAAGAAACAAAGCAAGAGAGGGAGAGATTTAATCAGTGGTAACATACAAGAATCAGAGTAATGTTACTCGCTTCAGGCACTATACTTCCCTCTGGGTATCAACTCTGACTCAAACTGACCAGATCTTCAAGGGAGATAATGTAATATCGATCTCAACTTTAACTATCATTAAAATCATCCAAGTAACTTAAAAACAAACACACACAGACCATAACTGTGCCCAGCTCCCCTGAAGTTCTAGCTCAGTTCTGAAATGTATCTAGATTAGTACTTTTTAAGACCTCTATTATTAGTGTGGCCCTGTAACGCAGCAGGTAAACCCTGTGACAGGGAGCTGGATTCCACAGGGTCACCATAGTCCGAATCCTGACACCAGCAATTTGAAAAGCATGCCCCAAACTTTAACAGGACAGAGAGCAAACAAAGGATTGCAATGCAACCATTCCCCATGGCGGGGGTGGGCACTCTATCTCTTTCTCTCTGGCTAGCACACATGCCATGTGGCAATAAATTATAAATAACCAGACAGAAAAATCTCCACGGTTGAATCCACCATGTGTCAGGATTAATATGATCGTGACCTAATATACAAATTTTTTGGTTTTCTGAACCTTCTTCATAAAACACTTCTGTGACCACCCAGTGATCAACTAGTCCAAAGAAATCATATTCATTAATACTAAACAGAGAATAGCAGAATGTTTCTATGCTCAACTTAGTGTTCCTGTAATTATAACTTACTAAAACTAAATTCCTGAAAACTGAATTTATGTGATCAAATTACCAGTTCTATCTTTTTATAAAATGTGATTTTTTGGGGGGGCCAGCAGGTCCCATTAGAGGTTAAGGTGTTGGCTTCCCACATGGCTGACTGTGGTTCAGTTCCAGGATCCAGAGGCTTCAAAATCACACTGGGTACGTGTGCATTTGTGCCCAAAATCCCTGGAGAAAAACAAAGGACAAGGGATTGTAGTGGGGCCTTCCCTCCCCCATGGGGTGTGTGTGTGATTTCTCACCTTCTCTCTCTTTGTCTCTGGCAAGCACTCGTACCCTATGGCAAAAACCCTAAAAAAAAAAAAAAAAAAAATTAGTTTCTTAATGGTATAAACAGTAACCGTCTTAACTTCCTGATTTGTACATAAAGACTACCCTGTAGTGAGTTTTTCAAAGTCATGTTCCACTGGGTGGCTTCAAAATTTCATCAAGAACTCTAATTTCCTTCCTTTGCAAAAATTTCTGCAACTCTGGAAATCAGAAACAACTTATAACCTAAACTAAAAGAGAAAAATTACCAAAGACTAATAAAATAACAGGTGGTACAACTGAGTAAAGTAAGCAAGCAATATTACCTGAAGGTATGTGACTGGTAGCATGAAAACTAACAAATTTTATAAGCAATTTCTATCAGTGTTCTTTAAAAATATCTTCTTTTTCTACATTTTCTTTCCGAAAATAGATAAACATACTCCCATTTGTAAAATGTTACTTTCTCCTGTACAATGAAATCTTCCTGATGTTCCACATTCTCTGATAACTTCAAAATTCAGAATGCTACAATAACTGATTATGAAATGACAAGAAACACTGACAAAAAGGGGGCATATCAAAAACAAGAGGCTGGTTCTGGGGCCTGGTGACTAAGGCAGCCTGATCCCACATGGCCAACTACACAGCTATAGACTCCCAGAACCCGCAGCTTGAGAGATCTATCAGGTATCATGTGTTGCATACATACCTCAAATCCTGAAAAAAAGGTGATGGAGGAGAAGGGATTGTGGTATGACCATTCCCCATGGGGGGAGGGGGGGTCAAGTGCTTGCTTTCTCTCTCTCTCTCTCTCTCTCTCTCTGTCTCTCTTTATAGAGCAAATGTAATAGAAAACAACTCCTCTCCCCCAAAATAATTCCAAATTCAAAGTTCATGGTTGGGTAATCATTTGCTCTGAAATGGAAAAGTCCACAGCAGGAAAGTACAAGTTGGTTAAAAGCACCCAGGACTGCATGAGCCAGCATCAGTTAGCTCCTTTTACTCACTACTCTGGAGCACATCTATACTTTCCTGCATTGGCCACATCATTTACAACTTTCCAAAGACTGACTGTATTACAGCTGGGTCTGAGATTTAATAACTACAATAGGTTTCTCTGTGTCTATCTTACCTCTATTTGGAAAGCATTAGACAGTATTTTTAAAGATACCCTTTAAACACCTGATAAGAAGGCATGTGAAAGAGAATTACAGATTTGGAGTATCACATTCTGTGGAAATTCGTGATGCAAGGGCAATTAGAAAAAACAGATGGCTGGCTCCTTTCAAAGAAAGTCCATGAAAGGATTCTCTAGGATACAGTAACAGGACTCTCATTGCTGGGCCCTGTTGGAAAGCTGCATCCTCACTTTAACATGACCGTGAGGAAACAGGAGAACAGAGCCATATGACAACTTCCCAAAGACCCAAAACGGGCATATAAATCTTATAAGTAGGGTAGTTAAGAGATTGAAAGAAGTCAAAAACAAAGATGGTCCTATAAAAATGACCATGTTTCTGCCCTACATTATCAATGTCACTTCACATTAGCCTTGTCATGTCTGTGCTGTGACTATCTCCACCATTCTAACTCATTATACAATTATCAGTAGCAGCCCTTTAAAGCCAAACATATAGAAATTTAAATCAAGAGTATATTATTTACATTTTGAATTAACTATTTTGTAAATATCAAATGTGTTTACTTTGCAAACATTACCTTCCATGTATCAAAGTAACAGGATGTTGCAGGCAGATTTTTATCTGCCTATTTCCTATGAGGAATTTACTCACTGTGTAAAATGAATCTCAGAGATTATCAAGCAGAAGTCCCCTTTACCACATTCTCTTAAGAACCCGTATCTCAACATGTAAGCCCTTGAAAATATTAGTTTTGTCTTCACAGATTAGCAGAGTAGATCTCCTATAGGCTTATGGAGAATATTATCTTAAAAATGCCAGAAATAACACAGATGACTGAAATTCACAAACTTAACTTTAGCACAGAAATGGCTATATTCTATTCTGTTTTATTTCTAAAAAATAGAAAATTCTGTATCTTGAATTTATCTTTGGATTTCCAAAGCCATAGAAAATACCATATCTTGAATTTATCTTTGGATTTCCAAAGCCTAGGACAGTCCCCAGCACTGCAGAACTGAAATGTGTGTGAAATTGATGAGTCAAGCTCTGCTCTCTCTTGAACTCTGCCAGGATGTGAGCTCATGAGGACTCTCTGTACTATGGATGACAATTGACAGTGACTGAAGCAGGGCAGGAGAGCAGAACCAGGAACAAAAAGAAGCAAAATCTTCATGGTTGAGGGGTATTCAATAATGATTTATAGACACAATGATGGTACATCTTACGTTTGTATTTTTTTATGACGGTCAAAGTGCTTTTATAATATTCTTACTTCATTTGTTTCTCACTATTCCCCAGGGACATGTGAGATGACTTAATATAGAAAACCCTTCATTTAGACCGAAATGAAGGAAATGCAGCTCGAGCTGCTAAAAGCTAACATCGCCATCAGGTTAATTTTTTCCCTAGAAGGGTTCTATTTTTGGAATCAGGTAAGCATCTAGATTAATATTCACAAACTATTTTGCAAAAAAAAAAATGTATGACTCATGAAATTAAATAGACAATTAACTGACTTCTAGGGAACGTTTCATGTGATGACTGCTCCCCTAATGACTTTTTTCACCGTAAGAGTAGAACTTGAAATGCATGGCGGTGTATCTAAACTACTGTATAACCCACACAGTGAAAATTCCCCAAATCTCTGCAAGAAATAGATTTACTCAATTGATCATCGTTTCAAACACGTAACCTCTGGCAAACTCACCTTAAAACTCTCCAGCACGTCTTTTGATTCTCCTCCTCCGGAAGATCCAGAGGCGCATCCGTTACTACAATCCTTAAAAAAGAATTAAAGCTCCCTTTAGTCAAATGAAGCAAATAACCAGGGCCTGGGCTAATCAACAAGACTCACCATTACACCGAGTGGCGCCGGTACCCAAGCAAGGAGAAAACAGAAGCGCTGACCAAACGACACCCAGGCGGAGCGGCACAGAGCGCCCCGGGAGCGCTGCCCTTCGCCTCCTATTCTGCCCGAGGTGCCGGCTCTGGTCGTTCGCCACCGGCCTGGGGCAGACTGGTTAAATTCCAGGTCAGCCCTCCAGTGCCAGGGTTCTCCCGCAAAGAACAAGAAAGCAATTGTCTCCCTTATATTTGAGTAAATAGTCTAGACTAGGGTTTTAAGTCATTTATAGAAAAATCTCCCTGGCGCGCTCAGCCTCGTGGTCTTATCAATCACTGGCGCACAATAGCACGCCCGCAAAGGGATGGGGCGCGAACCATTTCCTCCACCGGCAGGGTCCTCCGGTGCTGGCGCAGCTACACCAACACACCAGAGACCGTTCCTTAAGGACAAAACCTCATGGTATGGGGGTAATCTAAAACACAAAAACACAGGGACTAATTAGGAAAAGCAGACCCCCCAAAAAGCCTAATCTACTAAATAACAGGGCGGGAAAGGGAGAAAGGGACCCAATGAGGCAGAAGGCGGCGGTCACAACACTAGGGGGTGGCGCAGGCACGTAGGACGCGTCTGCTGTGGGTTCTGGCTGCCCAGCGATTCCGAGCCTGCCTCCTCCCCCAAAACGGTTCCATGGCGACCCTCACGTCCTCTGCGGCCCGCCCCTGCGGCTTTCGGGAGCGAGTCCCCGGGCGGGTGTTAGACCTGGCTGGCGGGGACCTTGCCGAGGCGGAGTTCACGGGCTGGGGCTCCAGATTCCGGACACGGATGGGAAGCAGAGATGCCTCCGCGCCAGCGGAACGTGGCACGAGGCAAAGGACTGTGCAGCGCCAGGCCCACCGCAGCTGAGATCCGGATTCCAATCCTCCCCTTTCCGCAAAGGCCGGAGATCCGGGGTACCTGGCGGGCGAGGGCCGCGCTGGCCATGGGGAGGCATCCGGAGCGCCAGGCAACTGGCAGCAGCGGCGACACGCAGCGCGCGGCTAGATGCGAACGCAGGCGACGCGGCCAAGTCCCGGCGCGCGGCCCACGAGGCACGAGGTGCCACAACCCTGAGCCCAGCGCCAGGGCCAGGCGCTGGGAGCCACTCAGCCCCTGCAGCATCCCTGAGAGAGCAGCCTCCAACCGAATTGTCCCACTCAGTTTGCAGTCGCGAAAACCAAAGCCTTTGTCCCTGCCACCTGGTCTCTGGCCGGAGGCTGCGCCGAGAGTGGGCTCCTTTCCAAGTGCCCGCACTTTGGGAGCATCCTTGTTTACTAAGTAACTTCTGGGCAAGGGCCGGAAACGCCCCTCCGGCCAGGTGAAGGAAGGAAGGAAACCTTGGGGGAAATTTACATTAGAGCAGCTTTCCTCCCGGATTCCAGATCGAACTGACAAAAAGCATTTTCTGCCCTAGAGAGTTTGTAGTCTGGGATGCACGTGCCGGACACCAAGCCCTTCCTCACTGCCCTCCTCATCCTGCCCCTGGTCCTGTGCAAACTGGAGGAGAAAAAACGAGAATCCGGTTCCCAGATTTCTTTGCTCCACCTTCCCAAGTCCGCTTTGTAAGTGGGCGTTACGTAGGGGACAGGCACATATCCCCTAAGATCCGGGTGCTTTTCACCATTTTCTGATAAAACTGCCCCTGAAGAGCTCCCATCTCTCGTTTCCACTGCTTTCTGATGGAGGCTGGTGATAGCAATATTTGGAAAGAGGACTGTGAAAGAGACATTAGAAATACTCGGTTTAGAAAGGAATAGGAAGATTGGAGTAGCTATTGTCTCCTCTGCTGTTTTCTCCCGGGGCAACGTCAGCCTAAATTATGAGCCTTCCTGGTTTCTGTTTTAACAAGAAATGGAACCCGGGCTGACTTGATCTTGGAAATGGGACAGGGCAGTTTACTCTGGGAGAGAGCGGTTAAATCCAGCCTGGTTTTAGAAATGATTTTAAAAAGCCCTACAAACAATATACCTCTAATCTGAGCAACTCAGAAACAACCTTCCGTTCTCCCTCTCTCTCCATTATAGGAGACACGGAAGAGTCTCTTAGACTGGGGTAGGGTCTCAAGCTTCAAAGACCACAGAGCGCAGGCAGGTTATGTGCCATTAGAGGGGTGAGCGTCCCTGTAGAAACCTGGAGTCTCTTTTTAAATAAGTTTTAATTCAAAAAAATTTTAAAAGAGGGACTGGTAGGGGCCAGCGGATGGCATGGTGGTTGAGGTGCTAGACTCTCACATGGGTGATCTCAGTTCAAGTCTTGGACTTGGCAGCTTGGTTTCTCACTTTTCTCTCTCTCCCTCTCTCCCTCTCTCTCTCTCTCTCTCTCTCTCTCTCTCTCTGGTAAGCATATGTGCCCTATAGCAAAAATGATAATAATAAATACAATGGGGGCTGGCAGGTGGTGTGGTGGTTAAGGGCACTGGAATCCCACATGGCAGACCGCGGTTCGTGTCCTGGACCTTTCCTACTTTCCCCTTCTTGCTCTCTCTGTGTCCCTGTCTGGTCAAATAAGTAAATAAATAATTTTTTAAAAAAGAATAAATACAATTAAATAATTTAAAGGGGGAGGTGCAGTTTAAATAAACCCTAGGATGCCTGTTTTCCACCCAGACCAAAGTTTATGTAAAAGAGACATCCTGTCAAGAATAACCAGGGGCTTCATTAAAAAACAAAAAAAATGCTGGGCTCTCAGTTTTTCCTTCTGTTTAAAAAGAAAAAAAGAAAAACCCCCAACTAAAAATGAGTGAGAGCTAAATTAGAAGCATCTTTTTAAGTGGCTTAAAAAACTCAATTCATTTAAATTTTAGTGATCGCCAGAAGGGTTAAGATTTCACTTGTTGGGGCCAGTAGATAGTGTAGCAGTTATGTCACGGGACTCCCACATGGCCAACTGCAGTTCAAGTCCCGAACCCAGAGGCTTGAAAACCACACTGGGCACATGTGTGTGCGTGCACAAGATCCCAGGAGGAGAATGGAGAAGGAATTGCAGTGTGGCCATTCCACCCTGGGGATGATTTCTCCTTACTTCCTCTCACTGTCTGTCTCTTGGTCTCTCCAGCTAGTGCATGCACCCTAAGGCAAAAAACTCTACCTCCCCCCCCAAAAAAGGACTTCACTTGTGATAATGAAATAACACTGACCACAAAAGAGAGCTGTAAGATTTCTTAAACTCCCACTTGAAGAAAAAAAAAAAGAAGAAGAAGAGGAAGAAGAAGAAGAAAAAGAAAGATAAGGCCTTAACTTAAAACCTTAAAATGTTTTGCAAGATAAAGACTCTTGGTGGGGCCAGCAGGTGGCATGGTGGTTAAAGAGCTGGACTTCTACAAAGCCAACAGGATTTGAATCCTCAACTGGAGGTTTGAAAATCACACCACATACATGTTGTGTGTGTGCCCAAAACCCCAGGAAGAGAGTGGAGGATAAGGGACTGCGGTGTGGTCATCTTCCCTGAGGTGGTTTTTCACTTTTCTATTCTCTGCGAGCACACACGCCCAATGGCAAAAAACTTTTTTTAAAGAAAAGTACTGGCTGTGAACACATAAATCCTAGGCCCAAAAACCTATGCTTATCCTGCCCCAAAATAAAACTGCATGAGCTAAAAGCCCACCATTCTGAGGCAGACTCTGGCTAGGCAATAAGGCAGAATAGATAACATAAAGGGAGCCATGATGGAACATTGCATGAGAGAGAGGGCCTATAAAATCAGTCAACCCACTTTAACTTAACAAGAGCCATATTCTTCCCTGCTGTTTGTCCCTCCGGCCAAAGCTAACATCATGTGCCATTAGGCAAAGCCATCAAAACCAGGGACCTAAGACTAGACTACTCCTGGGTTTGGAATTTTAAATGTCTTGGCCTAATGGAACTCACAGGCCAGATAAGCTTAAAAACATAGAAAACTGCCACCAAAGAATAGAATGAGCCACTTTGTGTAAATCATACTTGGGGCTAAAGAACAAACATGCCCCCCCCCACACCTAAACAAAGCCAAATGGAAACAATGTGAGCCAAAATTAAAGATAATAAGGACACCCAGAGTGTTAGCTCAGATGAAGCAAGAGAATCTTAAGACCATTACTTCATGGGACCCACTCCTTTCCCCAAAAGGTCTTAAAAAAACTTGGACATCTAGGGACCAGGAGTTAGCGTAATGGCTATGTCACTGGACTCCCACGTAGTTGACCGCGGTTCGAGTCCCGGACCTGGTGGTTTAAAACTCACACTGAGTTCGTGTGCATGCATGCCCAAGATCCCGAGAGGAGAATGGAGAAGGGATTGTGGCGTGGCCATACCCTCTGGGGGGTGATTTCCAGCTTTCTGTCTCTCTGTCTCTCTCTGTCTGTCTGGTGAGCGCACGCGGCCTATAGCAAAAACCTCTCCAAAAAAAATAAATAAATAAAACTTGGACATCTAGTCCTTCGGGGGGTTACTGAGCTGAGAGTTTCCCTTCCATGTTGTGAAACGGTTTCCTTCCTTTCTTCTCTGAATAAACTCTGCTTGCTTACCTAAATCTTCATCTCTCATTCTTCAGGAGCGATAGGTAAAAACCTGTGCCTTGCTGCAGGTGCATCCCTGCACCGCCGCATTCCCGCATCAATTCAAGAAAGCAGAGGTTCACACCCTTTTAAAATAATCATTAAATCAGGGCCAGTAGGTGGTATAGTGCTTAAGGCACTGGACACTCCCACATGGCTGACCACAGTTCAAGTCCCAGATCTGGTGGCTTACTTTCTCACTTTCCCTCTCTCTTTCTCTGTGTCTCTAGTCAAATTAAAAAATAATAATAATAAATAAAATAAACAGTTCTTTTAAAAATTAAATTTAAAAAATCATTAAATCAACCATCCACCTAGATCCCGCTACCCTTAGTTTAGCTCTTAAAAATAGGTGCCAACAGGCCAGCAGGTGGCATAGTGGTTATGGTGCTGGACTCACACGTAGCCGATTTCATTTCAAGTCCCAGACCCAGCAGCTAGAAACTCGTGCCAGCTGCATGTCCATGCATGCCCAAAATCCTGAGAGAAAAATGGAGGAGAAAGGACTTCAGCATATCAAGCCTCCTGGGGGATGATTTCTCACTTTCTGTCTCTCCCTGTCTCTCCAGCAAGCACATACACCCTATGGCAAGAAATCTCTCAAAACAAAAATGTAGAGAATATGGTAATATCGTTAATCTGACTGTCATGTATGTACACATACTTTGAAAAACTATATTGTGTACTATTGAGATGTGCAAAATAATATAAAAAAAAGAAAAAATAATAATACATACAGAGAACTCAGGGAGACTGGGACTTCTCAGATGGAGTTGCCCCTCTCCTTGCTTTGGGCGTGGCCATGAAGCTGCACTTCACAACTCTCCTCCACAGGTTGGTCTGCAGCGCCAGCTCCAGAGTACTTGGTTTGAGTTCAGTAACGAAAGTTAAACATGTATTTGTATTGGAAAGGACAGTCTACGTCTACACCAGACATTCATTCCAAGTCCGTTCTTTTCTTGTTTGTTTGTAATTTTCTAGAGGGCAACTACAGTGGCTAGAGAAACAGTGAAGGAGAGAGAGGCAG